TGGAAAGAAATTCACAAATAAATATCAATATATTAGGCATAAGAATTTTTATTCAAGATGTGATGTCTATCATTACACAATACAAAGCGAAAATTAACAGAATTCTTGCCATTGGTAGATCGGTAAGAAAGGATGGAAACTGTTTTATTGTTTGAGTTCGTTTTAAATGTACAGAGATTTTATTTTATATAATTGAATCTAGCAATCTTTTCTTTTAAGCTTTCAATATATGTCTAAGCTTTAAAAAAAAGTGAGAAAAAAACTTTCCCAGCTTTCTATTTTTCCAAAGCACAGGTTAATTGACAGAACAATTTGGAAAAGGCATCAAATTCATTTAAAATGTGCCATGCTCTTAGATCCAATAATTTCTCTATTAGGTGTGTATCCCAAGGAAATAATCAATCATGTTCCAAGATTTATATTCAAGGATAGTCCCTGGGTGCAGTTGATGAAAGCAAATAGTGTTCATCTGCATTTTTCACATTAACCATTAAACTATTGACTATAGCCGGCGCGGTGGCTCACGCCTGTAATCCTAGCACTTGGAGGCCGAGGGCGGGCGGATCGCTCAAGGTCAGGGTTCGAAACTGAGCCTGAGCGAGACCCCGTCTCTACCAAAAATAGAAAGAATTAATTGACCAACTAAAAAATATTATACAAAAATTAGCCGGGCATGGTGGCACAGATGCCTGTAGTCCAGCTACTCGGAGGCTGAGGCAGTAGGTCGCTGAGCCCAGCTACTGGAAGCTGAGATGGAGGATTGCTTGAGCCAGGATTGAGGCTGCAGTGAGCTATGATCATTTTTTTTCAAAAAATTAAAGCCATGTCTGGCTCTGTTGCTCTATTCCTAGAGTTGCCATGGCATCAGCCTAGCTCACAGCAACCTCAAACTCCTGGCTCAAGCGATCCTCCTGCTCAGCCTCCGAGTAGCTGGGACTACAGGCATGTGGCCACCGATGCTCGGCTAATTTTTTCTATATATTTTTTCAGTTGGCCAATTAGTTTTAATTTCTTTCTATTTTTAGTAGAGATAGGGTCTTGCTCTTGCCCAGGCTGGTTTCGAACTCCTGACCTAGAGTGATCCTCCCGCCTCGGCCTCCCAGAGTGCTAGGATTACAGTCGTCAGCCACCACGCCCGGCCAACAGTCTACTTTTTTGTCCTGCATGGTAGTTAAATGGATGTGTCCACTTTGCAGTAACTCATTGAACTGTACACTTATGATTTCTTCATTTTTATATGAATGTTATTTCAGTTAAAACGTTCAGGTCGGCCGGCGCGGTGGCTTACGCTTGTAATCCTAGCACTCTGGGAGGCCGAGGCGGGCGGATTGCTCAAGGTCAGGAGTTCAAAACCAGCCTGAGCGAGACCCATCTCTACTATAAAAATAGAAAGAATTAATTGGCCAACTAATATATATATATATAAAAAATTAGCGGGCATGGTGGCTCGTGCCTGTAGTCCCAGCAACTCGGAGGCTGAGGCAGTAGGATTGCTTGAGCCAGGAGTTTGAGGTTGCTGTGAGCTAGGCTGACGCCACGGCACTCACTCTAGCTAGGCAAGAAAGCGAGACTCTGTCTCAAAAAAAATAAATTAAAAAAAAAATAAAAGTTAGGTTTAAAAAAGCAGTGTTACAGTTTAATTGCCCAATTGGTAATAACCACATGTGATAAACACTGCTCTTTGCTGGCAGAGAAGTCTTCAGTGCATCTTTGTGAAAGTTCCATCATTGATCAGATACTGAGCAAAACCCAGAGCCAACTGAACGGAAGGTAACTGTGGTCGGTAAGGATCGCAGACTCCGGCAGCTCAGGCCAGTGACGGGAGGATCCTAAAGAGGAGTTCTGCAAGAGCAAGCAAACCTCAGATCTTTCGCAAAGTTGGATGTGTACAAACCTGTGTACAAACCGCTGTGTGGTGTGCAACCCTGCCTGCTCTTTCAAATGGCACCTTTATGTGGATTTTTTTTTTTTTTTTTGAGACAGAGTCTCACTTTGTTGCCAGGCTAGAGTGAGTGCCGTGGCGTCAGCCTGGCTCACAGCAACCTCAATCTCCGGGGCTCAGCGATCCTACTGCCTCAGCCTCCGAGTAGCTGGGACTACAGGCATGCGCCACCATGCCCGGCTAATTTTTGTATATATATTTTTAGTTGGTCATTAATTTATTTCTATTTTTGGTAGAGACGGGTCTCGCTCAGGCTGGTTTCGAACTCCTGACCTTGAGCAATCCGCCCGCCTCGGCTCCCAAAGTGCTAGGATTACAGGCGTGAGCCCACCGCGCCCGCTTTATGTGGATTTTAAAAAGCCATTCTCTCTCAAGCATTTTACTGCCATCTGCTGGAAAATCATTCACGTCTAAAAGGACCTGAAGTTGCATACTGCATCGTAGAATTGTGTGGTGCACATTCTGCACAACTGTATGGGTTGACCTTGCTTTGACAGTACTCAACGAGAACCTTTATATCTGCGAACCACATCGTTAATCACCAAAACTAATTTCTCCACAAAACTCATTTTCTCTTGGTTTTTACTGCGAATGCTCGGTGGAGCAGTCAAATCAGAACCCAAGAGCTACAGTATTTACTAGGGCAAGGGAAGGAGAAGAGATGATAGGGCTCACAGCCTGCTGGGTTCTCTGACCCTCTTTGCTGATGTCAGTGCCTGTCTGGCAGGGAAGTGGAATGCTGTGTAGTAGCCCGGGGGCAACACCTGTAACTATCTTTCATCAAGGAAGTGAAATAAATGCCAAATCGTATTAGCCCTTGGTGGCTGAGGGCCAACTGCCTAACTTCAACTGGCTCTGAAAGAGACAATACACAATCTGGACACCAGTGGTCTGTTTGGTGACTGCTTCACCAATTGTTTCATCTTTTTTGTGAAAATTCAATCCAAGTCTGTATTTATTTTTAAAACTAGTAGAAAACAAATAATGTTCAGAAAGAAAGAAGAGAAAGAAGGAAGAAAATATAGATGAACCAAAACAAAACAAACAAACAAAAAACACAAAATAAAATCATTTGGCCATTTCCTAAAAAAAGCACTTTTAGATCTGGTTAGAGTAAAGCAGTTTGGTATATATTCTTGCCAACTTAAAATGCAAGTTATATAAAAACAACTCACCAAGGTCTATGTCTACATATTTATACACATATCTATAGCTGCATGTGTAACTATATCCATGCTTTTAGAATTTAGATACTTATTTCCAAAAGAGCACATGATAGAAAACAAATTTGAGCATATGTGTGTGCACATATATTGCCACATCATAATTAGACAATTTAAAAGTTATTCGCTAGAATGTATAGTAAAGATACAATAAAATAAACTACAGACAAGACCTATTAGGGTGTATGCAACCAGCAGGACCACCCTGGCTACGGTGGCCTCACTGACCAATTCTTTACAGCCCAATGGAGCACACCGTTGCTGTGGCCTTCCTGCATCAAGCTCTTTTAAATGGACAATCATTCAATTATTTTTTTTTAAAGAATTCCATTGTTTGGATATTTTTAATGTTTAGAATCTCAGATAACTATCACGTACAAAACCCTTCAC